GGGGGGGGGGGGGGGGGGGGGGGTTGAGTTAGGTTGGCGATATCGTTGGATATCACTAACGCGTTCAATTCCCTCCCCTAGGACTGGGTAGAGGAGGGCTTGGTGCGCTGCCGGGTTCCTCCATATCTGGTCCACATAGTGCGGGATTATTTCAGGGACAGAAAACTGGAGTTTTGTAACAAAATGGAACTTCAATGCGGAAGGGTGATGTACTATGGCGTTCCGCAAAGGTCAGTGCTAGGCCCACTGCTATGGAACGTCGCGTACGACCACGTTCTTAGAATGGCCCTTCCCCCCGACTGCATCGCGTTCTGCTATACAGATGATACGCTGATGCTGGCCAGAGGCAGGGACTAGGACGAAGCCCTGGTCCTAAGGCAGTTAGCAGAAGACCAGGTGGTGTGCTCGGTCCAAGGGATGGGCCTCAACGTGGCCCCCCATAAGAGTGAAGTCATGTTTATACATGACGGCTCTCGGGGGATTCCACCATGGGCCCAGGTCCGGATATGGACGGCTCAGGTTAAAGTGTGTCCTGAATTCAAATATTTGGGACTCAACCTGGATGGCAATTGAGGGTTCCAGCGACACTTTGAGGTCCTGGCCCCCAGGTTGGGCAGGGTGGAAAATGCCTTAGATAGCCTCCTTCCCAATCTCGGCGGTCCGAAGAGAAAGTCGCGGCGGCTATATGCCAACATGGTCCTTTATGGGTCACCAGTCTGGGCGGGGGAGATGACAGCGAGTCAGCGCATAAAGTCGCTGATTAACCAGTCGCAGCGCTGGATCGCTGTCCATCTCGCCCGCGCGTATAGGACCACGTCGCATATGGTCGCCACGGCCCTGGCGAATCTTCCTCCATTGGAGCTTCTGGCCTCGATGTACTCCGAAGTATATCGCAGGACCAGGGCGGGAGAGGGAAGACGAAAAGAACGCCGCCAGGGCTATTGCGCAAATGAAAAATGTTGCCCGTCAACGCCTTTTCCATAGGTGGCAACCCCATCTGGAGAGGGCGACAGAAAACTCGGGAAGTAAAGTCGCCGAGGCCATCCGGCCCTGCCTACCTGAATGGATAGGCAGGACCAGAGGAGAGCTGTCCTTCCGGACCACGTAGGTGCTCACCGGATACGGTTGTTCGGTGAGTACTTGCATAGAATCGGGAAAGAGCGCACTCGCTGTCATTTTTGTGACATCGTAGCGGAGTCGGCGTGGCATAACCTGGAGGAGTGTCCCTCCTGGGTGGAGCGGCATCGGGTTCTGACGGGCGTGGTGGGGGCGGACCTCACTCACCCGACTCTTATCAGGGGCATGTTAGGGGGGAAGAGGGCTGATCTGCCGTAACCTGCTTCTGCGACGATGTCATGTCACGGAAGGAGAAGGAGGAAAGGCACCGGAGAGAAAAGACGGAGGAAGAGACAGAGGGGAAGCAAAGGAGAAGGAGAAGAGCCTTCTCCCTCTCCGCACATAAGTGCGGTATCGAAGGGAGGCGCGTCGGGGAGAGGCGCAAGAAACCACTGCTAACGAAACCTGTGCCCGGTTTCGCCCCCAAAGCCCCCAAAGGCAACTTCGCGGGAGTCGCTGGAGATAACATCCCGCGGAGGCCACCGGCTAGTCGGACAGGGGGCCGACCGCCGCATTTAATAGGCGGCGGCAACTGGAGCCTCCCGTCGTCATACAAGCAAGGCGCCGGAGGAGGAGAGCGACAATATAGGTTGCCTCCTCCTCCTCCAGATCCGAACCATAGAAGGAGAAGGAGGGAGCACAACCTCCCATTTCCACCCATTAGTCGGTCAGGATGGCAACGGGGGACGGGGTCCGAGCGGAGGACTCAAACTCCGTCTTAACCTACCTCACAGCCAGGGGAGGGCACGGCGAGACGGGGGGTCTTACATCTCGCCGCAATAAAAAGCAATGAACCGGCCGGGAAAATATTAGGTTGTCGGAAAAGTCATGACGTTTTTTTCTGTTTTTCAAAGATCATTTATTTATATAAAGAACAAAGATCAATCAATGACATATTGCCCGTTTTGTTCGATAACCTTTTGCTATTTCTCAGTGAGCTTTATAATTCCTCGTTCATAGAAGGACCTGTCTTTATCGGCGAAAAATTGAACAAGGTGCTGATTTACAGTCTCATCTGAATTGAACGTTATATTACGCAAGGAGTTTTGAAGAGAGCGAAACAAGTGGAAGTCTGACGGCGCAAGGTCAGGCGAGTATGATGGTTGTGGCAACACATCCCATTCAAGCTCCAATAATTTTTTACGGGTGATCAAACTTGTGTGTGGTCTCGCGCGATGGAACACAACTCCTTTACGATTAACGAGCTCTGGACGTTTCTGGATGATGGATTCGTTCAAACTGTCCAACAGTACACATTCGAATTGATTGTTTGGTTCCTTGGTAGGAGCTCAAAAAACACAACACCTTTAAAATTCCACCACACTGAGAGCATAACCTTCCTCTGATGAATGTTTGCTTTCGATGTCGTTTGAGGCAAATCATCACGTCGGGACCAAGACCGTTTGCGCACCACATTGTTGTAAAGAATCTACTTCTCATCACCAGTTCATCAATCACTTCAAAAAAGGATCGTTTTCCTCACGATTAAAAGGGAAGGGTCATGTAAACGGCTGTTTTTTCAAGAATTTTTTTGGAAAA